CAGCATGGGCCAAGTTGTACAAGAAGCCGAGCCCATTTTCTCAGGTGCTCACGACGGGCTCTGCCTTTGTACGTCAAGATTACTTTTTCCCATATGGGAACTTTCTGTGATGTCTAAAAAACCCAGTTCTGATACCATGTCTGCGGACGGACTGGTGACTTGTCGACTTTCTACCAGTGCGATGCATATGCTGGAAAGCAAGATTCGATCGTTGGAGAAATTCTTAAGATCTAGAAGGAACCAGAGAAGAGGGCTGTATGGATATGTTGCTGGGTTAGGAGGTGTAACTGGCTCTATTTTGTATGGTACTGGTACAGAGTTGGGAGCTACTGAAAGAAATATGGTTAGGAGCTTGTTTGGAGCCTATTCCAATGGAGGCGAATCAGCAAATAAAAGACAGCGCTTGCCATATAGTCCTGCTGAATTGGCTGCCACGGAGGTAAGCTTAATTGAATTCTTATAAATCTGGTGTTCCTTTTGTCCTCTTCTGCTGGTCCGGTTAGTAAGTCTTTAATTAGTCTTTCCATCCTGCAGGTGAGGGCGATGGAGTGTATTAGGCAGTTGCTTCTCAGATCTGCAGAAGCCCTTTTCCTACTCCAACTTCTTTCTCAACATCATGTTGCCAGATTAGTTCAGGGGCTTGACGCAAACTTAAAACAAGCTTTGGTTCAGTTGACATTCCATCAGTTAGTTTGTTCTGAAGAGGGTGACCAAATTGCAACAAGGCTCATATCTGCCGTGATGGAGGTTCCTCCCTAATTTAAACTAGCCTTTGCTTCCCTCTTCTTAAGTGTTTTGATTGACTAACATAAATATAATACTATTGTTGCCCCAGTATTATACTGGCTCTGATGGCAGGGGAACAGTCGACGATATTAGTGGACGACTACGTGAAGGTTGCCCAAGCTACTTCAAGGAGTCGGATTACAAATTCTTCTTAGCTGTCGAACGCCTTGAAAAAGCTACTTTAGCTGTAGATGCTGAGGAGAAAGAGAGTGTTGCTAGAGAGGCGTTCAGTTTCTTGAGTAAAGTCCCCGGATCTGCAGATCTCAGAACCGTCTGCAAACGTTTTGAGGAATTGAGGTTAGTTTTTCATTCAAGTAGATTCTACACACTTGGTTGGTTGTAGATTATTATCATTGGTCGATAAATCTTAGTTTCTTTCTGCTTGTTAGAATTATGTTAAAGCTTCTATTCTTAGTGGCAGTAGAAGCAAATTTCAAAAAATTTCCAAAAATGCTTTCTCAGTTACAGTAAAGATAGTTTATGATTAGAAAATTGTATTTTAAAGATGGACAAAGAAAGATAAATCTAGAGATTCGCAGTTAGGGATTCAAAGCTAATTCATTGAGGTGAAACAGTCAGCTTGATGCATATACAAGATGCATGTTTTGTTGCCCTTTCTTCTAATATTTCAGTTATTTGGTATGCACTCGGAATAATTTTCTACAGGTTCTATGAAGCTGTTGTATGCTTGCCTTTGCAGAAGGCCCAAGCCCTTGATCCTGATGGTGATGCTTTCAACGACCAAATTGATGCTTCCATTAGAGAGCATGCCCTTGCCCAGCGAAAACAATGTTATGAAATTATTGCTAATGCCTTGCGATCTCTAGCTAGCTCCATGCTAGACGAGGCTTCACGTAGACAATATATATGCCAGATCGTTCATCTTGGTGTGCAATCAACTGACAAAGCATTCCGGGAGTACCTATACACGGCCATGATAGAACTGGGTCTTGAAAACGAGCTCCTGGAGTACGGAGGTCCTGATTTGGTACCTTTTCTACAGAATGCTGGCAGTCATTCTGCGTCAGAGGTATGCTATTTACACGCTAGCGCATATCCCTTTAGATTATTTCAATGCTATGTTGTCAGGATTCCTATCGAATTTGTCCATAAACGAGGTATAGCGTTTAAATGTAGCGGTGGACACTGCAACTGTTTTCTAGGACTTATTCATTTGTCTTCTTATGCCATAGGTGGGGGCTGTTTCTGGATCATCTCCGCTGGGTCACTCAGGGACACCGATTTCATCAAATCAAGCAAAATACTTTGATCTACTTGCGAAATACTATGTGTCGAAGAGACAGCATGTGCTTGCTGCTCATGTGTTTCTACGGCTTGCAGAAAGACGCGCAATTGTTTCAGGGGACAGTCCTACTCTTGAACAAAGGTAAGCAATCTATCTTGAAAGTTGCCCTTAGTCACACATTACTATGATTATCTTACTCTTCCTTCCTTTTTCATCTCTAATGGTTTGCTGCCTTTGTGAATTTAGGCGACAATACCTTAGTCACGCAGTTTTACAGGCCAAGAATGCAAGTAGTAGTGATGGTTTAGTAGGTTCTGCTCAAGGTGCTTGTGATAGTGGGTTACTTGATCTGCTTGAAGGAAAACTAGCAGTTCTTCAATTCCAAATAAAGATCAGAGACAAACTAGAAGCTATTGCTTCCGATTTCGAGTCCTCAGTTGCCATGCAGGACTCTGAGCCAGTACTTAATGGTGATTCTAGTGATGATTCCAGCTTAGCTAATGCAGCAAATGAAAAGGCCATGGAGCTCTCCGTGGAACTTAAAAGCATAACGCAGTTGTATAATGAATATGCTGTCCCGTTTGAGCTCTGGGAGGTAAGTCTAACAATCATAAACTATCATATATATTCTCGTCTTTCAATGTAGTTTTGCACCATGTTTCTGGTTAACTGGTTTTCTAGACTAAGTTTAGGAATAGGGGAAGCCGATACTTCTCCATATCTATAACTTAGATGATATTCTGTAAATTCATGCCAATAATGACTGCTTCAGTATTCTAGTTTGTAAAATGGAAATCATAAGATGAAACGATTTCTCTGGCCTCACTCATATGCAGATCTGTTTGGAAATGCTTTACTTTGCCAACTATTCTGGCGATGCTGATTCAAGCATAATAAGAGAAACGTGGGCTAGACTCATGGAGCAAGCTCTTTCACAAGGCGGGATAGCTGAAGCATGTTCAGTTCTCAAGAGAGTGGGATCTCATGTATACCCTGGCGATGGAGTTGTTTTACCGCTCGATGTTTTGTGCCTTCACCTCGAGAAAGCTGCACTTGTAAGCTCCTTTCTACTCGTTACGTCGTTGATTCTTTTCATCAGGTTAGAACTGGATTTGAATACCAAACTGTGGTGAATTTGGATTTTACAGGAGAGATCAGAGATGAATGAAATCGTCGGGGATGAAGACATCGCTCGAGCTCTATTAGCCGCATGCAAAGGCGCAGCTGAACCTGTGCTCAACGCTTATGACCGTTTATTATCCAATGTAGCCATTGTACCATCGCCCAACCTAAGAATCCGTCTCCTTGGTTCGGTTCTGGTGGTGCTCCTGGAATGGGCAATGTCTGTATTATCAGACAGAATGGGACCGAGTCCAACAAGATCTTCTCTGCTATTAGGTGGCTCGTTTGCGCACGAGAACAAAGCCTTTGTTAACCAAGGGGTCCGTGATAAGATCGCTAGCGCTGCAAACAGGCAAGTTTCACTAGCTCTCATCTTAAGTAGGTCTAGGCATTCACTCGTGTTACATTTATATATTCGGTGTTAATTTTGTTGTTTTTGGGATAACGGACAGGTACATGACAGAGGTTAGGAGACTGACTCTGCCACCGACGATGACAGAGAGAGTATACGCAGGTTTCAAAAAACTTGACGAATCTCTTTTAAGTCCATTCTCCTTCTGATCCATCATCATCACTCTTTTTTTTCTCCCTCTATTTGCATCCAGTTTCTTTACTTTATAGGGGCTTTTAGCAGCTTTTTTTGTAACTTTAAAACCACTCTTAGGGGAAGTTCCCCCTCTTTTAGAGCACCCCCATCAAAGGTTTAGATGGGGGGTTCACACATTTTTCAACACAAAAAAACTATTAAAATAATAAAACCTTATAATCCCCTCTCTCCTAAAACTCTCTCTAGTGATCCCCTCTCTCATGGGTTCATCACTGTAGCGTGGGCCACATGACACGTGGCGGCCCGTGATTGGTCTATCTTTTTTATTTTTAAAAAAAAAGCAAAAAGGAAAAATAAAAAAAATTTAATAATAAAAAAAGGAAAAAATGAATCCCAAGGGGGGGTTCATTGGTGTGGATGCTCTTAGCTTCAGAGAGTATCAAAATACGAAAAGAGAAACAATTTATTATTCTGTAGTTCCTCTTAAAAACCTGAGGCCTTGTGTCATTTTTAATCTGTATACTGTAATTTCCCGAGTGTTGTTGTTAGTTATTAATGGCATACAATTGTTCAAGCGTTCAGTAAATTTATTGTATTTGTATGCCAAAATTCAAAAAATGATGCTTCAGAAGCTAAACAATTGTTTTCAGATTATTTATGATTTGAAGGTGAATTGAAAATGTTAAAAGGTATTCAAAATTCTCGGTCAGTGTCCTATAGTGTGTGGATTAGTGAGATAAAATAAGAACAATTACAGATGATGCAAAGTTAATCTCAAGCTTGATAACAAAAAAAGCTGATTAGGAGTAAAGTGGTAAAAACCGAAATGATGAAACATCATATGGTCTCTAGTGATTTGTCTTACATGTGTTTGGACAGAATAGCAAAATGGTCCCTAATAATCTGACAACACATACATATCAGATGGTCCCTAATCCTTCAATGTAATTATACACACACCACTGTTACTGATAAAACTTGATTAAACGTTTGCTAATAATTTATGACCACTAAAATAAAACAATATTTCCAGTCAATTTTAATTAATGCATAATAATAATAAAAAGTATACTATATAATAGTGTGATAGAGAAAAGGACAAATAATACTATTTCCCGCTAAACAAGCAGAAGGTACATTTATATCCGTGTTAGTGTTAACGCTATAAATCAAAGACGACACTAAAACACTTGATTAAACGTAATTAACAGTGACCGCGCCCTATCGTTGTCAAGCATTATAAGCCTTAAACCTCATTTAAAATCTCTCTCTCTCTCTCTACCTTTCACTCTACAAAACCTAATAACCAAAAAAGTGTTCTCTCTTTCGCAAATCTAAAAAAAACATAGCATTCTGCTCAGTTACTGTTCTCTGCTTTGCGCCGATCTTTATGTTTTAGTTTTTTTTTTTTTCTCAATGTAAAGTATGGATTTTCTGAGTCAATGAGTATCATCGTACGTTGATATTCGCTGGTGTGTTGGAAGTTAGAACCTTAGTGTTTGGTTAGATTGGGAGATTTTTAGAATTGTGGTGAGGATTTAGATCGGAAAATAAAATAAAAAAATGGAGGAAAGAGGATTCATGTCACCTTCATTGGCGTCTTATCGTGAAGGAGGAGGAGGAGGAAGCAAGGGATTGTCGCGACGGAGACCAATGAGACCGAGCTTTGACGCGGATAACGAGTTCATTACCTTACTCCATGGCTCGGATCCCGTTAAAATTGAGTTGAATCGTCTGGAGAATGAACTCAGAGGTACGAGGTTACTGCTTTCTTTTTTGTTAGACGACTTGAATTGTGAATATTTGAAATTGGTCTTTGACTGGGTGTACAGACAAGGATAGAGAGTTGTCTGAAGCTCAAGCTGAGATCAAAGCATTGAAGTTGTCTGAACGGCAAAGAGAAAAGGCTGTTGAAGAGGTTCATCCCTTCAAAAGCTCCCAATTTTAGCTCTTTTTTTTTTGATTTTTCACAATATTCACTTCATTTTCTATAGAAATTGAGAGTGGGGTTTATAGAATTCATAATCAAATGAGATGGAATAGCCATGTGTAATTTATTTGGCTACTCCACAGCCATCATAGAGAGCTCTGTATGAAACATTTGGTTCTTACAGGTGTGACAGTATACTGACCTCTCTGTGCTGTTTATTTTGTGTGTTGAAGCTCACCGATGAGCTGGGAAAGATGTCGGGGAAACTCAAACTGATTGAGAATCTTCTTGAGAGTAAAGTATGATTGTGATATTTCTTTTATTCATTTTGGTTCTTTTTTTCTCTTAGATTATATGTCTAATAGTTTCTTGTCACAGAACCTTGAGATCAAGAAAATAAATGAAGAAAAGAAGGCTTCCATGGCAGCTCAGTTTGCAGCAGAAGCCTCTCTTCGTAGGGTTCATGCTGCTCAAAAGGATGATGACATGCCTCCAATTGAAGCTATTCTTGCTCCTTTAGAGGCTGAACTGAAACTCGCAAGACAAGAAGTATTTTTCTTTTCATAAAGATCTTTGAATAGCTTGATTCATTAGCAGCATTCTCATCTGATTTTGCAATTATTTGATTGGTAGATTGCTAAACTTCAAGACGACAACAAATCACTGGACCGCCTTACCAAATCAAAGGAAGCAGCTTTGCTAGACGCTGAAAGGACAGTTCAGTCTGCATTGGCAAAGGCTTCAATGGTTGATGATTTACAGAACAAGAACCAAGAGTTGATGAAACAAATAGAAATTTGTCAGGTATGTCTATCATCTCTTTTTACTCATTGGATTAGAGATATCTCCCTTGCTTACAACGTGGTGGTCTTCTTTGTTGGTACATTGGTTAAAATAGGAAGAGAATAGAATTATAGACAAGATGCACAGACAGAAGGTTGCAGAAGTTGAGAAGCTTATGCAGAGTGTGCGGGAGTTAGAAGAAGCTGTTCTTGCTGGTGGTGCAGCCGCAAATGCAGTCAGAGATTACCAGAGGAAATTTCAAGAAATGAATGTAATGTCTCGTAGCTTCTAGAGTGCCACAGTAATTGTTGGTCTCGTAATTGTGTCTTTTGGTCTTTTTTTCCTTAGGAAGAGAGAAAAATTCTTGAACGGGAACTGGCCCGTGCTAAGGTTAATGCAAACAGAGTTGCTACTGTAGTAGCAAACGAATGGAAAGATTCTCACGACCAAGTGATGCCTGTAAGGCAATGGCTTGAAGAACGGAGATTCATGCAGGTCTTGTTTTTGTTCCTTACTTCTCATGTTGCTTCGAGTTGTGTAATGGTTGGTTAACTATAACTATCACAGTCTCCTGTTTATGTCTTGACAGGGAGAAATGCAGCAACTACGTGACAAACTTGCCATAGCTGACCGAGCTGCAAAGTCTGAAGCTCAGCTGAAGGTAGAATAATCATAGCTAAAGGCACTTTTTCTTTTAATACAATCTTAATTTGGGATTTGCTGATTTAAATACAGGAGAAATATCTACTGAGGCTTAGAGTGTTAGAAGAGAGTCTAAAGAAGCCTACAAGCAGCAGCAACAGAGGCACTCCTCGTGTCCGTAGTTCAAGCAATGGGCCTTCACGAAGACAATCCCTTGTTGGAGCCGAAACGAGTCCAAAACATTCATCAAATGGTTCTGTGGCCAAGAGCAGACCAAGTTCTCAGCCAAGATCATTAACTGCTAGTGCAAGCACTGTATTGAAGCATGCTAAAGGAACATCTACATCATTCGATGGGGGAACCAGATCACTGGATAGAAACAAAGTACCATCAAAGTTTCCTTCGAACCACCAGCCATCTGAAGGAGGTAGCAGAGTTGAGTCGCCTAGCTTAGTAAAAGAGGAAGAAGCAGATGCCAAGTCAAGAGATAATGATAGTGTCCCAGGTGTCTTATACGATTTGCTGCAGAAAGAGGTGATAACATTGAGAAAAGCTGCTCATGAGAAAGATCAAAGCCTGAGAGACAAGGATGATGCTATTGAGGTTGCTGCTTAGTTTGGCCTTCTCCTAGCCTTTTAAGTGAAATGTTATCTATAATAAAGTCTTTCACATATTTGGTGTTTGTGATGTGTTTTAGATGTTGGCAAAGAAGGTTGAAACATTAACAAAGGCGATGGAAGTTGAGGCAAAGAAGATGCGAAGAGAAGTAGCTGTAATGGGGAAAGAAGTTGCTGCCATGCGCGTGGATAAAGGACAGCAAGATAGTAAAACCAAACGTATCTCTTCCACCTCTAGAGGATCTACAAACACTGCGCAACTGCTTTCTGGAAGGTATCATATCATATACTATGAGCTTTATATAAAAAATGTCATTTTGTTTTACGTTGTTTTGATTCTTTCGCAGAGTGTCTGGACGAATTGGGATGACAAAGAGCACATAAGAACAAGCTGATTCCACCAAGGCACCAAGCAATTCCGATCGTGGTCTATGTTCATGTACCAAACCGATGAACCGTCACTAGGAAGAGTGGATAGATGTGATCAAAAGTTCAAAGAGATAAGAAACCGGTTTGGTTCGGTGTAAAAAGATATGAACTTTACTTGGCTTATATATATTTTGCCTGATGATTTTCTTATTTTGTTGTTGTTGGTATAAGAGAGGTAAGGCTTTTTGTATTACGTAACATTTTAAGCTTTTAGTGTGTGATTGTTTGTCTCTTAGCTCTGTTGTTTAGTCAAAAATATATGAGAGCCTGAATTTTGTTGTTGTAGAGCACTGAATCAAGTGGTCAAATTTAACCGAACATAACCACATTAATTTGGACCGGTTTCCCACGTTTTGGTATGTATCTTTGTTTCTTGAATACGTTTTAGAACAGTTTAGTCATATTTAAACGAACGTTGCAGGAAGAAGAACACGTTGGCCTTAATTTTTGGGATCATTTAAACATTCAAACCTAAACCTTGGCGCCTCAAATGCACATTATTTAGTTTGCGTGCTGATTTATTCTTTTTTATTCTCTCGTGATTAGAAAAAACCTTTTTGTCAAGACTTTTCATCAAGTTTAAATTTCCAAAAGAAGCAATCAAACACACAAGCAGGCCCGGCCCGAAGAAAATATGGGCCGGAAGCACAAAAAATAATTGGGCCTATTAATTAAAACTATGTAACTAGTACATCTCGAACTTGACACATTTCACACATCAAATCCAGCCTTAAACCAACTACGCTACCGAAGATAATGACAATTTGAAGGCCGAAAATTTTGATAATCTAATTAGGGCCGGAAGCACATGGTTGTATTGCTTGTACTCAGGGCCGCTACTGCACACAAGCAAGTGGATTTAGTAGTAAAAGTCGTGGAACTAATCGCAGCTGTTGTGTAATGCTTAAATAATAATCTTCAAGGGGAATCAAATAAAAGTCAAAGAGAGATAGAGAGAGATTCAACTTCCAGCCTGTCTGTTTTTGCCCCGAACCGGGGTAAAGACACACGAGTACACAATCCTCTGTCTGGTCCTTTTTGATATTTTCGGGCTTCTGTCAACATCACAACATAAAAGCTATTTACTTTTCAACTGACTTATTCGTATATGTGTACTAGGTCTAGTGTCTGTAACACACAAAAGGCTGTGTCTCTCTTTCTCTCCCTATTTATTATCTTTGCAGAAGCCTTTCAAGTTCTAAAGAATCTGAGAGCCAAAAAGACAAATGGAGGAAAATCAAGAACTTGTTTTGACCCAGTTGAGAACATCGGTGGAGAAACTCTCTTCTTCCACAGAGGTAAACAACTTATTGGTGTTATTTTAGCCGTTCTAATCCATATCAGAAAATCTTATTGTTTTGTTATGTTGTTTCCTCTGTAAGGGATATGAGAAACCGACGTTGATGAGGTTCCTGGTGGCAAGATCAATGAACCCTGACAAGGCAGCAAAGATGTTTGTAGATTGGCAAAAATGGAGAGCATCTATGGTTCCTCCAAATGGGATCCCAGACTCAGAAGTGAGAGATGAATTGGATTTTGGAAAGATCAGTCTTCAGGGTCCAACCAAATCTGGACACCCTTTGGTGCTTGTCTTGTGCTCTAAGCATTTTCCTGCCAAGAATGCAGTTAACTTCAAGAGTAAAATCACATCTCACTCTGTTTAAGACCTTTTTTAAAAATCTAAACTGTTCATTAAGTAGATAAGTATCATGTTTAGGAACCCCCAAGTTCTCTTGTTTTTGAGTAGTTTCATTTTGAGTTTAGTATATGGACTAATATTTCATGTGTTTGGTGTTTGGTGTTGCAGAGTTTGTTGTTTATGTACTAGACAAAACAATCGCAAGGTTGTTAACACATCACTTAAAACCAAAAACATTTCAAAACGCTGATATTCCGGTTCCTTGATTGTATTACAAGCTTTTTGGTTCATATGGTTTCAGTGGCATCAAAGACAAAGAAGTAGGAGATGAAAAGTTAGTAGCCGTTTTCGATCTTGCAAACATTACATACAAGAACCTTGATGCTCGTGGATTAATCACCAGCTTTCAATTCTTACAAGTAACCATCTCCTCTTCCTCTTTCTAAAAATGTAGATTACAACCAAAAAGTCACATCTTAATGTTTATCCAGTCTTACTACCCGGAACGCCTAGCAAAATGTTACATGTTGCACATGCCTGGATTCTTCGTGTCCGTTTGGAGATTCGTCTGCCGTTTTCTAGAGAAATCTACTCAAGAAAAGGTATTGATCTTTACCATCTCCCACATATTCTTGAACAAATCTCAAGCATATATTACCTTTTGTTGTTGTATAGATTGTGATAGTAACTGATGGAGAAGAAGAGATAAAGTTCAAGGAGGAGATCGGAGTAGATGCCTTGCCAGAAGAATATGGTGGCCGTGCTAAGCTCACACTAATCCAAGATGTTCTTCTTCCTCAAACTGCTCCAGAAAAGTGAACAAACAAACGAATAATAATGTTTAATGCTTAAAAACATTAACCCCTGCTTTAATCCACATATTATTAATTTCAGTACTGCTTTCTTATTTTCGTTCTGTAATGATTAGAACAAAACTTTCTTCAGAACTTTTCAACTACTTATAAAAAATCCAAAAGAAGCAAATGTAACACATGAGAAAATTTGTGTGGGAATATACAACTCTTTTGCTTACCACTCTCAAACATCTTGCTGTTTCATATTTTCATATATAAAACGCGTGTTGTTTCTTATTAACTATATTCAAAAACCCACTGTTTAGTGTTTCCTATATCAAACGCGTGTTGTTTCTTATTAACTATATTCAAAAACCCTGCTGTTTAGTGTTTCCTATATCAAACGCGTGTTGTTCTTGTTAACTATATTTAAAAAGCCTGCTGTTTTTATTTTTTAAAGAGCACATGAATATAATCTCTCGTCTATCACCACCGCCGCCAAAACCTCTCCCTCCCTCTCTCTCTCTCTCTCACTTCCGGCGACAATGGCGACACTCACTCACCAAACCCCACAAACCCATTTCCTCTCCCGTCTCCCTCTCAACCCCAAACCCAAACCCATCTCCACAAGAGTCAAAATGTCCCTCCAAGAATCCGCACCCTCTCTCGCCGTCGTCGGCGTCACCGGCGCCGTAGGCCAAGAGTTCCTCTCCGTCTTATCCGACCGCGACTTCCCTTACAGCTCCGTCAAGATGCTCGCCTCCAAACGCTCCGCGGGCAAACGCGTCTCCTTCGACGGGCGTGAATACACCGTCGAAACTCTCACCGCGGAGAGCTTCGACGGCGTCGACATCGCGCTGTTCAGCGCCGGGGGGTCGATAAGCAAGGAGTTTGGACCTTTAGCTGCGGAGAGAGGAACGATTGTTGTTGATAACAGCTCTGCTTTTAGGATGGTGGAGGGAGTTCCGTTGGTGATACCGGAAGTGAACCCTGAGGCGATGGATGGGATTAGGGTTGGGAGTGGTAAAGGGGCGTTGATTGCGAACCCTAATTGTTCGACTATTATTTGTTTGATGGCTGTTACGCCTCTTCATCGTCACGCAAAGGTTTGATCTTTGGAATGTTTTATGAACTCTGGAATTGTTTAAAGGTTTGATCTTTTGGAATGTGGAGTGGTAAAGTTTGTGTTTTTATTTTGTTGGGGTTGCAAATAGGTGAAGAGGATGGTGGTTAGTACGTATCAAGCAGCTAGTGGTGCAGGTGCTGCTGCTATGGAGGAGCTTGTGCAGCAGACTCGCGAGGTTTTGTTTTTGTTTTAAGTGTTGCTATTGACTTTACACTTAACGATTGTGCTTAGTAGTGATTCTGCTTTTTTTTTCTTTTGGTTTGGTGTTACTTTAGGTTTTAGCGGGTAGACCGCCTACTTGTAACATCTTCGGACAGCAGGTGAATACTCAGTTTGGTTATAGTTTATGTTTCAAATGTTTTGATTATGTGTTAATTCGATGGTTTTATGCTTTATACAGTATGCATTTAATCTGTTTTCCCATAATGCTCCGATTACGGAGAATGGTTACAACGAAGAGGAGATGAAACTTGTTAAAGAAACAAGGAAGATCTGGGTGAGTGTGGGTTTTACTTAAAGAGCTATTTAGTACTCGTTTCACTGTGATCTTTTGTTCAAAATGTTTTGTGTATGGACCTTTCTTGCGCTTTGCAGAATGATACAGAAGTAAAAGTAACAGCGACGTGTATACGTGTTCCGGTTATGCGTGCTCATGCCGAGAGTGTGAATCTACAGTTTGAGACTCCCCTTGACGAGGTAATAATAGTAATACGCATTAAACCCGTTTTGCTACTAAATTTGTTATTAAATAGTTATTTGAAGCACCTATAAGTTTTTAGGCTTGGTTAGTTCTTTATGGTATCAGCGTTTGTAGACTTAGATAGTTCTTGAGGCACTTGCAGAGATAAGCCTCCTTGAAATTGTTATTTGGACTTACTCTACTAGCAAGCATGCTTAGAGCTTGGGAATAAATAAGTTTTGTGAAGAAAGAATCTTATAATCAGGTTAATATTTATAACGGTTTTTTTGTAACTGTATATTAACAGAACACAGCAAGGGAGCTGTTGAAGAAAGCACCTGGAGTTTACATTATAGACGACCGCACTTCAAACACCTTCCCTACTCCACTTGATGTCTCTAACAAAGACGATGTCGCTGTTGGTAGGATCAGGCGAGACGTGTCTCAAGATGGCAATTACGGGTAAGTAAAAAAAAATGCTTCACTCTTTCTATTGAACAGATTGGAGCCAAATGGCTATAATAATAAACTATGTGAAATTCAGGCTGGACATATTCGTATGTGGAGATCAAATACGCAAAGGAGCTGCTCTTAATGCTGTTCAGATCGCTGAGATGCTTCTCTGATTTTGATTCCCTCACTCACTTGCCATGACATCCCTGTAGCAGATTCGAGCCAAGACTTTGTGGGTTTCTTTTGTTTCTTTGTTTGACCAGTTTTGTTACTTTCATACACGAAGTTGTCTCTGAAAATCCTCCCTACGGCTGAACCTTACCAGTTTCCGGTTTAAACCAGTACCGGTATGGTTAATAAAATATTCAATTTATTAGATGTGGGGTCTTCACTTCAGATTACTTTTAAAATAGGTCTAGCCACAGAGGATCCCTGGTCCCTCAATTATTCAACGCACTAAACCAGTCACGTATAGGCCCACATTGTCCTTCCTTCCTTTTCGCTTTGTAGTTTAGTTAGCCCCCGTACGATTCTGAATATTATATTTCTCTTTTATTTTATAAAGTGAATAAGTGTTATCCAATACTGATCAACTCCTTCTCTAAGAAGGTTGGTTACTTTGTCGTTATATCATTACCCTACATGGAGATAAAACCGAAAGTAAATATCGTGATTATGAAAACGAATATCTCTCTACTTTCTGTTTTAATGGGTCTTTATATATTTAGCCTGTATCTCCTCTTTAAATTTCAGTTCCCTTTATCCTTATCCTTATATTCCCTATGTTTCAATTTATTTGTTATTATAGAAAAAAAAAATTATTTCAAAATAAATGTTGTTTGATGCTTTCAGGATAAAATTTATTAATTTTATATTTTTTTTTTATTGATTGAAATGTAGTTAAATTTATTGATAAGAATATTTTTACACAAAAATATACAAAATTAAATATTTTCTTAATTTGTATGAATAAATTTAAAATAAAAAGTAAAATTAAATGGATAGAGTATAATTTTCTTTAAAAAGTAAAAAAAAGTATAAATTGCGTCTAATTAATGACGCTTAAGGACTCTTTAACTACACATCAGTGAGACATCTTGACCGTCCGATTAGGTTCTACTACGATGACGTCACCAACCGGACATAAGCAATTCGGGATACTCGAAAGCAGAGTATTGCAACTCAACAAGTGGGACCTTTGAAGACGACGACGACTAATAAGAAGACGAAAAAGCAAAGACTATCTTTTGGTCATGTCAGTGTTTATATAAACAATAGATAATCGAGACTCCTCCTAAGGCGATCATCACTCATCATCTGCCTACTCGGCGACTATATCGGACTTCTGTGATCGGAGATCACTCCTCGCCGTCGTCTCCCTTTTCCCCCGGTAAGTCCTCTGTTTTCACTGTCGGAAACCGCACTCTCTAGGTCGTGTGTCTTGTTTAAGTGATCTCAGATTGTTTAGTAATATCGAGTTACTTGTTAGGTTTAACTCTACTACAATGGGGAAAACGATTCAAGTGTTTGGTTTCCCTAACGGCGTAAGCGCAGAAGACGTCAAAAACTTTCTCGAAAGACTAACCGGCGCAGGCACAGTCTACGCAATCAAAGTCAGACAACCTAAAAAAGGCGGTCCAAGAGTCTACGCCATCGTCCAATTCACATACGAAAGACACGCTAGACTAATCCTCACACTAGCAAGCCAACGTCTCGACTACGGAAGATCTTACCTCAAAGCCTTCGAAGTAGAACAAGACATCGTCCCTAAACCAAGAGCTTCATTACACACCCTCCCGAGTTTAAAAATGTACTTTGGATGTCAAGTCTCTCCCAAGAAGCTCTCGGTTTTCTGGACTTGTCTAAACGTTGGCGTCTCGTTCGGAACCGGGATGAGGAAACTCCACTTCTCATTGTCTTGGTACGATGAGAAAGAGTATCGTCTCGAGCTTCCTTACGAAAACATTTGGCAGATCGATTTGCATTCTCCACCACAAGGGAGAGGAGACTCCTCGAAGTATCTTGTGATTCAGGTCATTGGTGCTCCTAAGATATTCGAGAAGGAAGATCAGCAACTTGTTAACAACAACAGCCTCTTGTCTGCGTTGTTACTAGATTTCTACAGTGACGGGTCTGACGAGCAGTGGATAAGGACTACAGACTTTACCACTTCCTCTTGTATCAGTCAATCATCAGCCTTTTGTTTGGAGCTTCCTGCTCATCTCAACGTCCCTGACTTCAGAGAGAATTTCGCAAACTACGCAGAACACGAAGCTAGCAGCTTCGTGGTTGAATCCGGGCGTTGTTACTCGTCAGAAGCGAACAAGCTTGTCCCTGTTGTTGATCCTCCTCCAGGGTGTTCCTTACCTTTCGAGATCTTGTTCAAAGTCAATACATTGGTCCAAAACGCGTGTATCCCAGGACCATCTCTTGATCCAACCTTCTATCAACTCCTTGATCCGCAGAGATTTGATAGAGCTTTAATAGATCACTGTCTCGAGAAGCTCTTTTATCTCCATGAATGTTGCTATACTCCTGCTCGTTGGCTACGTGAAGAGTACTCAACTTGGATCAAGAAAGGGAAGGTTCCACAGTCTCCTATGATATCTCTAGACGATGGGCTTGTGTACATGTATCGTGTTCAAGTTACACCTACGAGAGTCTATTTCTCTGGACCAGAGGTGAACGTTTCGAACCGTGTGCTAAGACATTACTCAAACTACATCAACAACTTTTTACGTGTATCGTTTGTTGATGAAGATCTTGAGAAAGTTCGCTCCATGGACTTGTCTCCACGGTCCTCTACTGTGAAAAGAACCAAGCTATACGACAGGATAAACTCTGTTCTTAGGGATGGGATTGTTATTGGTGATAAGAAGTTTGAGTTTCTCGCCTTCTCTTCCAGCCAGTTAAGGGAGAACTCTGCGTGGATGTTTGCGCCGGTCGACGGGATCACGGCAGCTAACATCAGAGCTTGGATGGGGGAATTCGACAATATAAGAAACGTAGCTAAATATGCAGCAAGGCTTGGTCAATCTTTTAGCTCGTCTAGAGAGACGCTTACTGTTAGGAGAGATGAGATTGAAGTGATTCCGGATGTTGAGATCAGAACTTCAGAGGCACACTATGTGTTTTCAGATGGAATAGGGAAGATCTCAGGTGAGTTTGCTAGACGTGTAGCTAAGAAATGCGGGTTGACGGAGTTCTTCCCTTCTGCTTATCAAATCCGTTACGGCGGGTATAAAGGAGTGGTGGCTGTGGACCCGAACTCGTCGAAGAAACTGTCTTTGAGGAAGAGTATGAGCAAATTCGAGTCGGAAAACACGAAGCTCGATGTGTTGGCGTGGAGCAAGTACCAGCCTTGTTACATGAACAGACAACTCATCACGCTTTTGTCTACTCTTGGAGTTGGAGACGATGTGTTTGAGAAGAAACAAAGGGAAGTTGTAAATCAGCTCGACGCAATCTTGACCGATCCTCTGGAGGCTTTCGAGGCTCTTGGTTTGATGGCTCCAGGGGAGAACACGAAGATTCTCAAGGAGCTGATCTTGTGTGGTTATAAACCTGATGCTGAGCCTTTCCTCTCGATGATGCTTCAGAATTTCAGAGCTTCAAAACTGTTGGAACTTCGGACCAAAACTCGGATTTTCATACCTCGTGGGAGGTCGATGATGGGATGCCTTGATGAGACCAGAACGCTTGAATATGGTCAAGTGGTCGTGCAGTATACAGATCCCACTAGGCCTGGAAGTAAATACGTCGTTACAGGACCTGTTGTTGTTGCAAAAAACCCGTGTCTGCATCCCGGTGACGTGCGTGTTCTTGAAGCTGTCAACGTCCCGGCTTTGAGTCACATGGTGGACTGTGTTGTTTTCCCGCAGAAAGGCTCGAGGTAAACTCTTGGTTCTGATTTTTTTTTTTTTAACAAATTTTCTTTATTAAAGTCTGAATATTACACTGGAATATGGTGTTTTTTTGTGCATAGGCCACACCCAAATGAGTGTTCGGGGAGTGATTTAGATGGAGATATATACTTTGTATGTTGGGATCCTGAATTGATTCCACAAGGAACGTCTAAACCAATGGACTACACTCCTGAACCAACTCAAATCTTGGATCATGATGTCACTATTGAGGTAAAATATCTTTGTTCACTTAAATTAGTTTCGCTTTTGGATAGTAGTTTTGATGTGCTAAATCTTTTTTTCCAGGAAATTGAAGAGTATTTCACTAACTACATAGTGAATGATAGTCTTGGAATCATCGCAAATGCTCATACCGCCTTTGCTGATAAGGAACCACTCAAGGCGTTCAGCGACCCATGCATTGAGCTTGCAAGAAAGTTCTCTATCGCTGTGGACTTCCCAAAAACCGGTGTTGCAGCCGAGATACCTCAGCATCTCTACGTGAAAGAGTATCCAGATTTCATGGAGAAGCCAGATAAACCAACATACGAGTCGAAAAACGTGATTGGTAAGCTTTTCAGAGAGGTAAAAGAACGAGCTCCACCATTGATCTCTATCAAGTCTTTTACTCTTGATGTGGCTTCCAAGTCTTATGATAAAGACATGGAGGTCAACGGTTTTGAGGAGTATATTGATGAAGCTTTCTTCCACAAGGGAAACTACGATTACAAATTAGGTAATTTGATGGATTACTATGGGATTAAGACAGAGGCTGAGATACTTAGTGGTGGTATCATGAGGATGTCTAAGTCTTTCACCAAGAGAAGGGACGCAGAATCTATTGGAAGGGCTGTGAGATCACTTAGGAAAGAAGCTTTGTCTTGGTTCAATGCTTCTGAGGAAGAAGAGGTGGTTAATGAATCTGCAAAGGCGTCGGCATGGTATCATGTGACTTACCACCGAAGTTACTGGGGTGTTTATAATGAAGGTTTGAATCGTGACCATTTCTTGAGCTTTGCGTGGTGCGTTTATGATAAGCTTGTGAGGATTAAGAAGGCTAATGTTGGTAAGCGTCAGCGGCAGGAGACTCTTGCACGGTTAGGCCTCATGAGTTTGAGTTGATTGTTAGGCTAATTTTTTTTAGAGGTGTTTTTTTTTTCCTTTTGGTTGTGAGTTTCTATGTACAAAATGTTTGGTGTGGAGTGCTTGATGTACTAAAAAAGTTTGGTTTGGTGTAAGAAATCTGAAGTTTATCCTTCAAAGACTATGAGTTTTTGAATAAGATTCTGTAACATAGAGGAGAAAAATGCTACAAATAACTCTCAACACACATGCGCAGCCTCCATATCTATTCACACATCAAAATCAATAAAGAGAACAAAAAAAATTGTTCTATTTTTTTTTTTAATTTTCTTTTGTCAAGAAGCGCCAAGAAGGCGTTGGTGATGTAGTAGAGCAAACTTGACATGCAAGCAAAGTTTCCCTTTATCCAAATAAAGCCTAACACCAGTGACTAACCAATGACCAGGACTGTTTTGAGGTCCTCGACATAACTGTGAAAGATCCACGAATTTAACAATCTTGTTATTCGCCGGCACAGGAGGTCCTCTTGGGTACACACCGGAGTCCAAAACGACCTCGTTTTTGTCTTTGTTACTGACCATATTATGATGAACACTCCCACTAGTCAACGGTAAGCTCATGGAAGAAAAGATTCCCGATCTTTGGGAAGTTCCTGGTCCATGGACCCAATCTTTCTGAACGACGTAGTGATCAGAGACTCCGGTGAAACGGAGACGGAGATGGAGTACGGATTTTGAGCCGTGTTTTTTCACTTCTAGCTGAGCTCCGGTGACTATGTAAGCTACGTTGTTTGAGTTTGAGTGTTTGCTTGTTGTTGTTGTTGTGATCCAGTTTGGGTCGTACTTCACTGGAGCTGTACACACGTGTGAGAATTTCTTACCGTTTAATGGTTCGAAGTAACGATTGCTATTGGAGATTTCGTCGGAGCCTCTCCATCTATGATCGTCGGTGATTTTTTCCCCAACCGTTGTCCTCGTAGTTTCTAGGTGTTGCAAGTGTATAGCCAGCCTGATTGAACATAAAATCCATTACTATATATGACGAATATATAATATTAAAAATGGTATTGTTACGCAGTTTATCAAATCTAGTTTCTTCTATTTCGTTTGATAACCAAAAGTTTCTAGACTTTAAGCCACATAGAGAACTGTTGAATACTTGCATTGGTTCCTTTTCTGCCTAGTTTATGTTTGGCTTCAAGCCATATTATCCTCAAGTTTAGCTCTAGTTCTAGACTTGATTCTTGATAACCAAGAAGTTATAGCCAGTCCTTATTCGCCTAGCAATCACAGTAATTTTTCAAAAACAAGTGTCAAGTTTAAGTTTGCTCTGGACGTTGAATATTCTAAAAATCGGTCTATGCGACGCCTAAATATCCGCCGAATCGATAAATTGAATATTAACAAAACAATTTTTTCAAACTGATTTTTTAAAAAATTGTTCTAGACGTTAAAAAAATTACTATAAGTGTCTGCCTAAACAATAATTCTCTATAAGACGTCTAACCACTTTTTAGAACATTTACCTATTGCATTTCTTGCCTTCGAGGAACAATCGCATTCCTGTTAGTGGGTTCTTCTCAGTAGTCACCTAAAATTAGTTAACAACATAAGTGACATTGTGAAAGAAATATATAAAAAAATGCAAGCAAGAACTAGGGATGTATATGTATACACGTACGGGAGTGGTATTAACGTATAGTTTGGGACCCATGAAGTTGATATGAAGAGCTGGATACGCCGAAGCCATATTTGGCGCGGCGCCAAACGGAAGGTCGTTATGAATCGGAGCCCACCTTTTAGGCCCAGAGAAGTCCAAAAAGTACTGTAGGTCCATTAACGGCGGCTTGTCTGTCAAAATCAAAATTAACCACTTCAGAACTACTACTCCCATAAATAATCAAATACTTTAACAGTGGATAAGTGACGTTACATCTAAGGTAGAGAGACATGGCATGAGCTAGAAGACTAGAGCCAGGAACATCTTTGAGAAGTGATGTGATTGGAACAAAGTTGAAATTGATCGCATCTGGCTTTTCCGGAACTGTTATTAGCCATTCGCTATGACTTTTTGCTCTCCCGTCGCCTCCTCTTTTGGCGCATATAACCGTTATCCCCTGAAAATTTAGATTTCTTTTAGTGTGATGAAAATGTTCTTATACAGTGTGTGGTTTTATATTCTATAAAACTTACATCTTTTGAATTTATCGAAAAATTATTGAAAGCAACCGTTTCTTTCTCGTCGAAGACATTGAACGCCTCTGGAAACTGCAATATCAAAAAACTCTAGTAATGAACAACAAAATAAATGTACTGTGCTCAAGTTGACTTTATCGACTTAAACTTAAGTTGCGCTGACCTTATTAGGCCGACGAGTAGAGAGAAGACAAGATCCTGTGAACAATTGGTCGCCGAGATCGTAGAGATGGTGACGGAGTAGGTCGGTATCGAGATCAGAAGACTTGTCTTGTTTCACAACAACCACGTCTTGTCCTCCTACGCTTACCCCAGTTATTACGTGTGTCCCATATCTCTCTATAAATCTGTTCCATTTAATAATTAATTGTTTGTTATTACGATAATACTGACAAAATCAAAATATTACGTATTTTTAACAAAAGTATAATATAAAACCAAGCTGGTGGTTATAGTTTACATTATCGTTTCAAAGTCTTCGCATATAACATTGAGTTCTTCTAGTTTACAGTTATTCAAAGTTTTATTAGTTTCCTAAACAAGTTTCTTCCTGATTATTCGGTATGATCTTTTAGTTGGAAACGTTGAATTTGAGTATTTAAGTTGAAAAAAATATTGGAGAAATACAGATATATTCCACATTTAATGATATCATAGAATTAGTCAAAAATGTCCCAACTGTTCTATCAGAATTCAACCCAAAACTTGATATCTGTGCATTCGTAATGTAATGCCACACCTTCAAATGAGAAAAAAAAAGTTTTTTAAAAATTATAGAAATGATATTATAATTACCTGGCAAGTAACTGCGGGTTCCAGTAAGAAGGAACGGCGTTTCGAACGCGATCAGTGAGACGCAAACGATTGGGGTTGTGAATGTGTAGATTAAAAAGCGTTACCATAGAAGCGTCGAGACCTAAAGATTTAACGTTTGCGGCGTCAGTCGCCCATGACCCGCTTTGAAACCCGAACGTCGCGTTGAAATTTCCCGACGGTATTTTTCCGGTCACCGACGATCTCTGATTAAAATACTCCGACATCTGAACAATTAAAACAACACACACGTTTAAAACATATAAAATTATAAAACTAGTAAAGGTTTGAGAGTTATGTAATGAAGAGATGATATGATGGAGGACCTTGTTCAAATCAAGAATGTCTGAACGGAACCGAGTGCGTTCTCCTTTGTCGCAGTTTATATCGGAGGAGACATTCTGAATAGCTCCAAAGCCAGGAACATGCAGTTCTCTGTTTTGAGTTTCGTTGAGGACAACCAATCTCTCATCTCCGGCGGCGGAGTCGCCGTCTTTGCAATATTTTAACCGAAAATCCGCCGTTAAATCGAAACCTTTGCCAAGACTTTTGACCACAGTTTCTACCACTTCCCCGCCGCCTCCTCTGTTCATTTTTTTGTTTCCTTTGGTAGTTAAGTCTTTTGTATGAAAAAGGCATATATATAGTGAGAGAGACTAAATAATGGTTGATAGCTTGTAATGTTGGTTAATCATCAACTTAATAATTATATATTAAAAAAAATATTGAATAGAAGGAGAAAAAGAACGTGAAACTTTGATTAAAAGTATGAAAACGACAATAAACATCAGCGTTTACGAAGTCTTCGGGGGAACACGTAAATAGATTACTTGCACCGGTATGTTTTTCTAGCAATATAATGATTTTGGTATACGTTAAATTGATTAGATATGATATTATCCGAAAACCCTGATTAGTAAAGTAACTAATTTGCAGATTTGCTTTTTATTTGATTGGTCTTGTTTACTGAATCATAAGAATCAGACATGGAAGTGTATAAATACTAAATGAATATATAATCCACGCAGTTATTATGGTTGATGATGTAAATAGCTGATGCGGTTTAAATGATTGTAATCTGGTCTAGATTGTTTTGTCGTCATGATTCCATAAAAGAAACAAAATAAACAAATTTGACCCCCTATAATCCGCGTCTCAAGAACAAGGAACTTTGAAAATCCTATCACAGGTCAAACTGAGATATCGGTTTAGCTTAATTTACGTGTAAAGAATTTTTACATCAGCTTCACAACTAACCAAATAAGTTTACTGGTATTTACTATAGTATTTGCCATTAATCTTTTAGCCTATTCAAGTTCCATACGCGAGATTTGATCATTCCATTTTTTTCTTTTGTTATGAACTAAGGTGATAAAATGTACCCTTCATCAATAATATATAGTAAGTACTCCGCACGGTCAATTAACCCGTTCCAGTGTAAGTGCCAACACTTAAAATATGAACATGACTATTGTACAAAAAAAGAAGAAGATATGACTCTTATTTCAAAACTTGTTTGACTGTTTTGATAGATGTGGATAACAATGACCCAAGGTCCCTTTCTGGCGTAATAAAAACATCTACAGAAAAAACATAAGAAATTGCCTCTTATTCTTCTTATGTACTTATGCTTTCACACGACTATACAGAATCCCGTACACGCATTAAGGTACAAATTATTATTATTGTTATGTCGGTATAAAGACCATTTCATTATTTACCTCTACGATCAATACTCAATATCATTTGGTCATTGGAATTTTGTAGCATTTTAATAACTGGTTTTTTGACGATGTGGTTTGGTGGTTTGTTTCGATGTGAGGATACAGACAATTGAGAAAATAGTAAAAATGATTTTTTTGTTGTTGTGAAAGGTGTCACGGATATACACTCAGATAGTGACAATATACAAAAGGGTGCAGTGTAAATGATTTCATATCAAATCAACTAGTTTTAAACTTTTACATGTAGCGTCTGTGTGAACGCCGCTTTCGCGACGCGTCTTTTGTTGATTAGCCCTGTTCGTTTGGTTGCCGCAGGTTTCGGCGTCAGCGTCAGCGTCGGCGTCGGCGGCAGCGTCAGCGTTAATGACAACAGTTGTTGTTCGTTTAGCAGACGCTGACGCTGCCGCCGACGCCGACGCTGCCACAAATTATTGTTCGTTTATAAGACGCAGGTAATTGACGCTGACGCAGACGCCGACGCAGGAAACAAGTTTTTGGATTGTTCGTTTGACAGACGCTGCGACTATTTTCAATTTTTCAGATTTTTTTTTATAAAATTTTGTAAAATTGTATTTAAATAAATAAAAATGTAGTTTAAATATATTTGCATCCATTAAAAATATTATGTTCACTTGGTAATAATTTTTGGTCAATTATACAAATGTAACATATTTTTTCATACACCATAAGCTAAATTAGAAAGAAATAATACTTCAAAATATGTATCATAATAAAAGCCAAAAATATTACATAAGTTGGTTGTTAAAAAGAAAATACATAAGTCTTAGATATCGCATTTATATGATAATCAAAGTTGTAAGCAAAAGAAACTAAATCATTAACTCAAACATTTAATACGGTAAACGACCTCTACCATATTCATTTGTGATGTTATCACGCAAATCTTCCATCGCTCTATCACCTGTTGGCTCATATACAATATGTCCAGCACCACCACCACCTCCACCACCACCATCATCATCATCA